TTGAATTTACTTTAAAGTGGAATTCTCCCTTAAAGGGAAACTATAAGCACTAAAACAACTTTAGCTTAATGAATCAGTTTTAGGCTATATATCTTGCCTCTGCAGTCTCACTGCTCAATTATCTGCCATTTAGGAGTTAATTACCTTTTGTTTCTGCTTATACAGTCCTAACCACACGTCCCCTGGCTGTGACTCACATGGCCTGCGTGGAGGAAAAAAAGTTTAATTTTTAACCAGATGTTAACTTGCTTTAGAAGTATTGATTTACAAGAGGATTCTGCAGGATATAGATGCAGAGCAGGGGATATGGTATTCAAAATTAAAGGATCACTTATAGGGTCAGGAACACAAACATGTATTCCTGACCCTATAGTGTTAAAACTACCATCTAGCCCCCTGAGGCCCTCCTACCTCCATAAATATAGCAAAATCTTACTGTATTCAAGCCTGAAGCTATAGATCTGCATGCTGTTTGCCTCAGAAAAAACAAGCTGTCTGCTGACATCATCAGAAGTGGTAGCCTGGTACAATCACAATGTGTCCCCATAGGATTAGCTGAGACTGACAAAGAGGCAGATCAGGAGCAGAGCCAGCATGATTCAAACACAGCCCTGGCCAATCAGCATCTCCTCATAGAGATGAATTGAATCAATGCATCTCTATGAGGAAAGTTCAGTGTCTGCATGCAGAGGGAGGTGACCCAGGAAGGATCTCTAACAGCCAGCTGAGGAGTGGCCAGTGAAGTTATCACTAGGCTGTAATGTAAACACTGCTTTTTCTCTGAAAAGACAGTGTTTACAGCAAAAAGCCTGAAGGTAATGCTTCTACTCACCAGAACAAATTAAATAAGCTGTAGTTGTTCTTGTGACTATAGTGTCCCTTTAAACAGAATGTGCAATAAAGAAAGTTTAAACATTAGATCTCTCTTTACAGGAAGTGTTTAGGAAGGCTGTGCAAGTCACATGCAGGGAGATGTGACAAGGGCTGTATAGAGTAATTTAACTAATAAATGTCAGAGACTTGAACAGTGAGACTGCAGGCGCGGGATCTATTCAACAAAACTGATTTGTTAAACTATTTGTTTTTGTGCCAGTAGTGTCCCTTTAAGCTGTTGCATTACCCAAGAAGTTGGCTATGCATTACCATATATACATTTTCTTTGAAATTTTTTAACATTCACTATGATTGTGTTCCATCATATTCCAATATTGTGGAGTGGGTTAGGCAGTAGCTGCGTGACTTGTTACCAGTGGGGTACCTCAAGCGTAGGCATGCGCAGCCCATTATATAAGAATGTGCACCCTAAAGCACAAACACACACGCCGCATTTGTGTGTATATATACACATACATACAGCACCCTCATACACACACATATACTGCTGTGTGTGTGTAGGTGATGTGTGTGTGTAGGCGCTGTGTGTGTAAGGGTGCTGTGGGTGATGTTAGAGTGTGCCGTTTGTGTTTATTGTGTGGGGGGGGCCATTTAGTCAATATCCCCCCTCCCTTCTTACCTTATTGTAGGGAGGGGGGACCGTGCTGCTGCCATCCCTGGTGGTCCAGTGGTGAGTGAACTTTAGCCCCGCAGCCAGCGCCACTAGAGTTCACTCTCGCGAGACCTGAGTGTTGCCGCGGCAATGCTCCGACCTCGCGAGAGGAACCCAGTGGAGCTGCTGGCTAGAGCTCCCCGGGTCCTCTCCTGCCTCCCTCTATGCTGCTCTGGCCGGTGAGGTAGATCTTTGATCTCCCCACCGGCCCATGGAGGCTTAGAGCAGAACTGGCACTTGGATAGCGCCGGCTCTGCATTAGCCAACAGGGGAGATCCTGAAATCTCCCCTGCCCCAGTCTCAATCCACAGGCGTGCCACGGGGATTAGGGTGTGCCCAAACACCCGCCACACCCCATGTGCACGCCTATGACCTCAAGGATCTGTACTTGGACCCAATCAATTCAATATTTTTTTATTAGTGATATCACAGAAGATCTTGATGGTAAGGTATGTCTTTTTGCTGATAATGCAAAGATTATAGGCTTGCTTTTCGAGGAGGGATAAGGCAAATGGCAAATGATTTAGGTAAACTAGAAAAATTGTCAGAGCTTTGGCAACCAACATTTAATGTAGATAAGTGCAAGATAATGCATCTTGGGTGTAAAAACCCAAGGGTAGAGTATAGAATATTTGATATAGTCCTTACCTCAACCTATGAGGAAAGGGATTCAGGGGTAATTATTTTAGATGACTCAAAGGTAGTCAGAAAATGTTATAGAGCAGCAGGAAATGCTAGCAGCATGCTTGGTTGTATAGTATATAGGTATTGGCAGTAGAAAGAGGGAAGTGATCATGCCATTGTACAGAACACTGGTGAAACCTCACTTGGAGTATTGTTTGCAGTACTGGAGACCGTCTCTCCAGAAGGATATTGATACTTTGGAGAGAGTGCAGAGAAGGGCTATTAGGCTGGTTCATGGATTGCAGGATAAAACTTACCAGGAAAGGTTAAACGATGTTAACATGTATAGCTTGGAGGGATGATGAGACAGGTGGTTGTGACTGAAACATTTAAATACATAAAGGGAATCAACACAGTAAAGGAGGAGAGTTTATTTTAAAAAAAATAAAATAAAAAAAAGACAAAACACCACAACAAGAGGATATGGTCTTAAATTAGAGGTGCAAAGGTTTTAAAATATCAGGATGTATTACTTTACTGAAAGGGTGGTGGATGCATTGAATAGCTTCCCAGTTGAAGTGGTAGAGGTTAACACAGTGAGGGAGTTTAAGCATGCGTAGGATAGGCATAAAGCTATCCTAGAAATACAGACCACAGACTAATGAAAATTCCAACCAGGCTGGCCAAGATATCTTTATCTAATTTACCACTGTTGGAAATGCCTAGCTCAGGAAGGAACTATGTTACATATTTGGTGGAATTGCCCAAAAATAATTACATTTTGGGATTTGATATATCTTATCATGTCTCTCTTCAATATAAATCTAAAGAAATCTCCAGAAATTGGTCTGCTCCACCTAAATTGGAGTAAACTCCCAAAAAATCATCAAATACTGACCTTACATTCTCTTATGTCTGCGAAAATAGTAATTGCAAGATCATGGAAACAAATATCAACTCCAGATATCTCCCAGTACAAAAACCAACTTCAATTCCAGCTTGAAATGGAGAGGAGAGTTGCATATTCAAATAATAATCTTAAGTATATACATCATTATGAACAGTGGATTAAAAAGATTAAAGAAGAAAAAAAAAATAGGGGGGCGTGTCTTAGCGGCGGACGAGGACGGACGCGTGAGTGCTGAGCTCCTCTGCTGTATGGTGTTCGCAGCATAGTCACGGCGTACACCCGACCGCAAAAAACAACAGAACGGCGGGTAAACACCTGCCGCATACCACAGGCACAAATGGCGACGAAATCGTGCAAGAAGTTGAAGCAGAAAACGCTTCAAATGCACCTCACCTCGGCCACCATGCTGGATATGGCGGGACAAGATGGCGCCGACGGCCCGAGCTCACCAACCTCCGTTTCGGAAGTAAGTGATCCTGCTCATAGCATGGCTGACTACTCTGCCCCAGTTACAACTGCCACTCTCAAATCCTTACTTGCAGACCTCAAATCCACATTTCACACAGACCTTATGCAAATAGCATCAGACATCAGGTCAGACATTCAACAAGTGGGAGACAGGACTGCAAAGTTAGAAGAAAGGGCAGACGAAATAACAGACGCCCATAACTCTCTGGCAGACGCCTATACTGAACTACAAGACAAGCTTAAAAGGCTAGAAGACAAAGTGGCCGACCATGAAGATAGAGATCGGCGTAATAACATCAGGCTGAGGGGGATTCCAGAATCAGTAGCACCGCAAGAGCTGCAATCCTACGTACAAGACATCTTTAAAGAATATGTGCCAGAATTAACGGAAGGAGAGCTCTTACTCGATCGGACCCACAGGTTGCCCAAACCAAAACATCTGGGCCCACAAACCCCCAGAGATGTAATCACGAAGATACACTACTTTACTACTAAAGAAAGAGTCATGCAAGCAGCGCGACGAAACCCTCCCCCACCGGGGCGATTTAACCAAATTAAGTTATTTATTGATCTATCTGCATCGACGATGATGAAAAGGAAAGCCTTTGCCCCCATCACTGCAGCACTACGAGAGGCAAATATTCAGTACAAGTGGGGCTTCCCAACCAGACTCTTAATCAAACGCAATGGGACAGATTCCAGTATTGCATCTCCCGAAGAAGGAAGGAAGATACTGCGGGCCTGGGACATTCCTCTCACTACCACGACGACTCCCGCACTACAACACACCAAATCACCAGTGAAACTGAATAGAGTTTGGACTCAAGTGCCACGCGGCCGGTCACAGGAACCTACATGACCTCTACAAAGGGACGATAAGTATCCTCATTTGATGTGCCTAACCCATGTCACATTGCTATATTACTTTTGATATGAAAAGACAACACACTCACAAAAAAAAATTGATAAAAAAAATAAAATAAAAATAACAATAACTGTATATATCCAAATCGTGTATGCCTTGTCAAGATCTTAGCAATTGTAACACCGTACGGAGCACTGCGTCCAGTACGGGTCTCTTATGTGCGTAGACCCACTAATCTGTTGCTGGTCACCTACCCCCCAAAGTGGCTTAATTTTGAGCCGCATCATTAACCGTTTTCCACCTTTTGGTCGACTTCGTCTGACCAACGGTTTTATGTACATAGTTTGCATGTTTTTTCTTATGTTTTTACCCTCTTTTTTGTGTTTGTTTTCTGACAACCATGATTTTAGTGTACAGACTTGGCTTATTCTAAAGATCCTAGGGATACCAGTATCACCTCACCACTTTATCCACCCATGGGACCTAAATATCAGGCCACTACATATACCCTATATACCAGGTATAAATTGGGATGACCGACATATATGCTGGACCTTTGGTCCCCGGGCAACGCCCGCAGATGGGGGGGAGATTCATAGACTCGCAAAGGGGGGGCTTGGTGGTCCCACTCCTCCCACTTGTAACATGAGACCGCTGACCATACACCATGGTGCTTAATATCTGTTCCCTGAATGCCAAGGGGCTCAATTCTCCACACAAGAGGCGCTTAGCGCTAAAGGAGGCTAAATCCCTAGATGCCCATATGGCATTCTTTCAAGAAACACATTTTAAATGGGGCCAACGTCCAAAATTTACTTCCACAGCATACCCCATAGACTACCATGCTTGCTATGCAAAAAAAAAAAAGAGGAGTGTCCATCTTAATAAGCAAAGATGTGGCTTTCTCCCTAGTTCGCAAACTTGGAGACAAAAAAGGCAGATATATAGTGTTACAATGCTATGTTAACAACAACCCGTATACGTTTATTAATGTGTATAGCCCCAATGATCAGCAAATTGATTTCTTGGAATTGGTTTTGTTGTTATGTACCAAGCACGCCTTTGGAGAGGTGATAGTGGGGGGGGGACACAAATTTTTTGTTAGATGATTGTCTAGATTCTTCACACCAGAAACCCCTACAGACCCAGACCATCAAAACCAGGAGGAAATTAATTACTCGCATTAGACACATCCTTACAGCGCACAATTATGTAGACCCATGGCGCATACAACACCCTAGCGAAAGGGATTTTACTTGCCACTCAGCAGCGCACAATTGCTATTCCAGGATAGACCGATTTCTGGTTCCCTTAAGGATGCTCCCCAAAATAGAAAGTACCCACATCGGGCTCATTAGCTGGTCGGACCACGCACCAGTTACTATGTCCCTGACAGAAAGATTCCCAACTAAAGGCCGAGGCAGCTGGCGCTTAAATGACTGGCTATTAAAAGACCCGAGTGTAATGGACCAGGTTAAACAAGATCTACAGCACTACTTCCAAGACAATACAGAACAAAATTCCACCCCGGATCAAATCTGGTTAGCACACAAAGCAGTAATTAGGGGGTGCTTCATTAAACACGCTAGTTATGCCAAAAAGAAACGCCTCGAGAATTACACTAACATCCTGAAGGAACTTGCTGAGGCCACACACTCAAACAAACTAACCCCAACCCCCACTTACCATGCCACTATCTTACGATTGCAGAACCAATTGCGCGACCTGGAACTGTCCAAGTCGACGACACTGCTAAGACGTATGAAACATAGCTTCTTTGCGTCAGGTAACAGAGCAGGAGCCAAACTGGCTTCCCAGCTAAAAACACGTTCCACAGCTGTTAAACTCTCACACCTCCTGGACGCTAAAGGAGGGAAAATACTAGACCCGCAACACATAGCAGACACGTTTGCTACCTACTACAGCAAATTATACAATCTCAACACGGATCCACAAGTGCCCACTCCCTCCACCACAGAAATAAACAGGTTCCTATCAGACCTTACGCTCCCGTCTCTGAGCGAGGACGACGCGGATTCACTCCTCACCCCTCTCACAATAGAGGAAATTTCTTCCACAATTGAATCCCTTCCGACACAGAAAGCGCCCGGACCAGATGGTCTGTCTAACGCCTACTACCGCACGTACCAGACAACACTAGCCCCCCATTTACTGAACCTTTTCAATCACAGCATACAAAAAGGGACGTTACCGGACGAATTGTTGTTAGCCCATATCTCAACGTTACCCAAACCGGGGAAACCACCGACAGAGTGCAAAAACTTTAGACCCATCTCCCTTCTCAACTGTGATGCAAAGATATATGCCCAAATTCTCAGTAACAGACTGGCCAAATTCCTGCCCAAACTCATACACAATGACCAAACCGGTTTTATCAAAGGCAGGCAGGGTTCAGACAATTCCAGGAAGGTATTGAATCTCTTAGCAGAACTAGAAAGAACCAAAGGCCAAGGCCTCTTCTTGGCGCTTGACGCAGAGAAGGCCTTTGATAGGCTCAACTGGGCTTATATGCAAAAGGTTCTTCACAAATTTGGCTTTCCTCCTCCTATCATATCCCAAATCATGGCACTATACACCACCCCAGCTGCCAAGGTGTCCTGCGGTGGTTTCCTCTCCTCGAAATTCCACATAACGAATGGGACTAGACAGGGCTGCCCACTCTCTCCCCTGTTGTATATCCTCTCCCTAGAACCCCTGGCCCAAAAGATTAGGGATCACGAACATATACGAGGTATAACCGTTAAAGGAAAAGAATACCGACTTTCTCTTTTTGTGGACGATGTTATAATATCCCTCTCAAACCCAAGACGGGCGCTACCTCATATTCTCGATCTGCTGACACAATTTGGGAACGTCTCCCATTACAAATTAAACCGAGACAAAACACAGGCGCTACCTGTTAGCATACCCCAAGACGTTTTGGTTACCTTAAAATCCTCATCAATTCGACTGGAGAATTAGCACCTTAACGTACCTGGGGGTTAAAATATCTCCTACAATAGCAGGAATTATAAAACACAATTACACACCTCTATTACAGCTATGCACGAAGGAGTTGGCGGGTTGGAAAGCGACCCACCTATCCTGGTTAGGTAAGATTAACACGTTCAAGATGATGACTCTCCCAAAACTCCTTTATGTGTTTCGCATGCTCCCTCTCCCGATACCCGCTGCACTATTTAAGGTACTAGAATCCTCCTGTAACACATTCGTTTGGGGGGGGCAAAAAAGCGAGGTTGCCACTTAAGCTACTACAAAATACACCTGACAGAGGGGGAGTGGGCCTTCCTAACATCCACCTCTACTTCAAAGCAGCCGCCCTGGCAACATGTATCGCGGCACACTCACCCCAAGGCCACACACAATGGGTGGATATGGAGAGGGACCAATTTCAAGACAATTCCATGACGGACTACCTGTGGACTCCAAAACGTCTTCGGTACACGCACACACCTCTATTCCCTACCACTAGGCTGACCATACTGATGTGGGATTCCTTTATGGCCCAAATAGGCTACAGTCATAAGCTGCATCCCAAGGCCCCCCTAACGGCACTAAAAACCATAACCCAATCACTTTCTCTTTTCCACTGGACACGAATGGGTTTAGACAGACTTGAGCACCTCTTGGAAGACAGTCGTAAGGTAATACCCTTCTCAGAACTAAGGAGGATATGGAACGTGCCTGCCCAGGACACTTTCAAATATTTGCAAATCAGGAGTATACTGACTTCCCATGCTTTGCCCCCGCCAACTCCTACCAGCATGAATAACCCATTAATGTCCTCTCTGATTATGCTTAGATGTAGGGACACACCGAACAAACCTAAAGCCCTCTCCATTTGCTATAGAACGTGGCTAGCAATGCAACCAGATGTACCTCCGCTGTGCAAAAAACAATGGGAGGAGGACTTAGGTACGGACCTACCGGATGGTACCTGGTTGGGTGCCCTGAACGGCCTGTCCAAATGGACAAAATGTTATTCCCACATAGAAGCCCACAAAAAACTACTATACAGATGGTACCTTACCCCGACTAAGCTACACAAAATATACCCGACTGTGTCTCCCCTGTGCTGGAGATGTGGAGTGGAGAAGGGCACGATGATGCATATTTGGTGGTCCTGCACCGGCATCACACCTTTGTGGGAGGATGTGGGAACACTTCTGAGGCAATTGGGACTTTCAGCTTTCTCCCCGTCCATTTCCAATTGCATATTATTGCTACCAGATAACAAGGTTAAATCAATCTATCACCAACTGGTGGTGATAACCTCGTTAGCAGCTAGAAACCTCATAGCGACAAATTGGAAAAGCACGATATGCCCACCCATGTCACAATTAAAAGATAAATTGCAACAATATTATATTTACGAAAAAATGTCTCTGGGCTCCCCCTCCCAAGCCCTTAGGTTTCGAGAAACATGGTGCAAGTGGACTCAGCTGACAAACCAGCAAGCCACGTGAGATGACATACTGGGTTCCAATACTGACCTCTAGACCCCTAAAGGATTGATAAACAATCTTGGGAAATGTGCCACCAAGCAGATTACACTTTGTCCCCCTGTTCTGTTTCTCCCGTCTCCTTCCCCATATCCGTCCCTTCCCTGGTTTACTACTGCCCCCCTTCTGTCTATGCTATACACAGATGCATGCGGGACTATCTCGCGACCATTTGCAGGTATATGACACGCCATAATGGCAAGTTATTGAACTACAACCTTATGAATATGTTAGGCTGTATTAAACTACTTACTTATGTTGTAAGCAAGCTGCGACTTGCACTACTAATATGTTATTGTATGTGTACATGCGACTGTGTACGGTGTTTTGCCACTCGTTGTAAAACCAATAAAATACAATTTGAAAAAAAAAAAAAAAAGATTAAAGAAATAGTCTAACAGTCTAATAACTTCCTCACTTTACTAAATGGTTAAATTTATTTATACCCTTCCTAAACGAGTAAAATACCAAACAATAATGTACGTATTTAGTTTTTGTAATTTATTGTATGTATATAACATTTGTTACTTAATTGTTGTAATATGTTTGTATAATTGTATGTATAATTTGAAAAATTATTTAAATAGAAAATATTTCTAAAATTGAGCAGACTAATTAGGCCGAATGGTTCTTATCTGCCATCACAGTCTATGTTTTTAGGTGTCTGTCCATCCAGAATGCAGTCTGGAGGAGGGGGCTCATAAAACTTGTAATCTCTTATTGCTTAAGGTTGGATTAATTAAAAGCACACCTTCACAAACGGCAAACAAATTGAGTATCGTTGTCACAAATTGGCTGTTTTAACACTTTAAAAAAGCAGATTTGGATATTCACATAAAAATTAACACTTCAAAACAGCAATTGATCTACTACAGCAGTGGTTACCAACCTTTTTTAACTTGTGTATCCCTTGGTAGCTCATTTCCATAAACAAATGCTAACATACATACAGACACACAAATTCACATAGATACAAACAGTGCCACACATACAGATACACACACACACACACTGGCAGATAGACACACAGATACACTTACACACATAAATTATAGAGACACACACAAACACTGACATGGAAACAAACCTTGCCACATATGCATATACATAGACACACTGATATTCACACTGACACACATGCAGATATACAGATACAAACACTGACACATACAGATGTACAAACATACAAACACTGACACACATACAGATAGAGACACACAGATACAAACACTGACACACATGCCGATACACAGACACACAGATACAAACACTGACACACATGCCGATACACAGACACACAGATACAATCACTGACTGACATACATATACAGGCACACAAAATTACACAAAGACACACAGAAACAAACACTGACACACATGTAGACACAGATACAAACACTGACACACACAAAGGTCAAGAGTTTACCCCTCTGGTTTCCAAACTTTTAAGGGC